GGAGATGCTGGTAATGATGTTGGGACAGACCTATTATGGAAGTAAACCAGGGTAGGCATAGCCACTGTGAAGAATGACGATATTTACTTCAATCAATTTTGACAATATATAACTAGGAGAAAAAAATGGAAGAAGTTAGAATTGCCTTTCCACTTTTACAGAAATATATCTGGTAGAGAATGTATACCATAAACATCTCTACTGCTGTACTTAATGCAATGGTGATTGTGTTTAAATTAAAAACATGAACTATGGGGTGAAACTATGAGATTACCTCTTCAACTGCTACTTCTGCTGACTGCCAGCTGCCACAATTTGGCAGTTCTATTCTTAACCGGCTCAAGGTTAACTCAACCTTCTATTCTTCTGAGGTCAATAAAGTGAGGACCCAGTTTGTTGGGGACAACATGCTGACTCTGTAAACCACTTAGAGAGGGCTGTAAAGCATTGTGAAGTGGTATGTAAATCTAAGTGCTATTGCTGTTATAGGCATCCACAATGGACTCTCAACTGGAATGGGAGGCATTTAATGGAAGGACAACACAAGACGATGGATGGGAGTAAAAAGGTTATACTAGAGTCTCTTTAGAATATATGTTATGAATGAGGCTGTGTGGGATGTCTAGCCGAATAGGAGGGAACATTTTGGTGAATTTAATGACTGACACCAAGCCATAGCATGCCAAAAACTGGGCCATGCAAACAAGCAGAGCCTGATCTGTGTGATGCAGGCAGCATGTGAAATAACGTCTCCTCTGGTTAACAGAAAACCTCTCTCCGGTCCCTGTTGCCCAAAACGTTAGGGGCTGCTGCACTAAATATTCTGCTTGTAAAGATACAAATCTACCTATGTAACAGTTGTTTAAACTTTTGTAGTTTATGCAGAGGACGATCAATGTTTTCATTAAAGAAATCATTAACCTCAAATGGAAGAGCTTCGTACTAGCCTCTTGTTTTAATCATGAAGGTTGGAACTACATGACTCCAAAGAGCTATGATTACTGACATCCTCACTCTGACTTTCATGTCTAACTGTATTAATTTGTTGCTTCCTAGTATGATTTGATTTCTTATTGTACCTTTGACTATTATTAAGTGTTGTACCTGATGATTCTTGACTCTTGATGAATGTATCTTTTCTTTTATGTACACTGAAAGCATTTGCATCAAGACAAATTCCTTGTGTGTCCAATCAGTACTTGGCCGATAAAGAATTCCGTTCTGTTCTGTTCTATTCTACTGTTGTGGCCCGCCAGCAGAGTTGGCAGCAAACTCAGACAGTGAGGAGATTAGAGAGGAACATGGGCCAGTCCTGGAGTCTGGGGAAGCCTCTGGTGAGTGCTCTGCATTGGAGGCAGAGATGAGGCCAGGGCTGTCATCTGCCTTTGGAGTCGGAGATCAGTGGGGCAGAAGAACAGCTGAAGCCTGTTCTTGATGTGCGCATGTGCAGAGCTATCAGGAGAAGAGAACAGCTAAGGAACAAGGGTTGACTCGGAAGTAAAGGCACAGATGGACGGTGAATGGCCCCTCCCATACGGAATAAATAGGAGTGAAAAGGGAATGGTGTTTGCAGGAGACAATTAGTTCGTTTAATGGTGTGAAGATTTGTTTGTGACTCACAGAGAGTCCTTGCTAAGTATTTCCTTGTACAGTGTTGCACTTGGAAGCTATCAGCCTGGCAATTCTCCAAGCCTGATAAGGGTCTGTGGTTGCAATTCACCCTTGAAGACTGTTTGCCAGGACTTTGCTGGATGGGAATGATAGGAATTCACATTTGCCAAATAAAAAGGGGTTTTGTCAGGACAAGAAATCTGTTTCGTGATTTTGTGAAGCCTAAGTCAGAACAGCTTGGCCACTGCAGGCCTAAGGCAAAAATATATGGACAATTTCTCTGCTATCATCTAGCAACTACAAAAAAATAATAATCAATTTTTCCCTAGGAAAGTGCTGGTACTTGGCCAATTACAATTAGTAATTTTTATCTGTGCAATATGTCAATCTCATTATCCCCATTCTATCTCCTCCTTATTTACAGACATTAAGTGTGAGGTTTTCTTGGGATTTTGCTAGCTCCATAATACTGGAATTTGCTAACAGATGAGGGATCAAATATTTACACTGATCCCTAACATGATGAAAAGTTTCAGTGACACAGAGATGATTCATTAAACATTACCAACTTAAAAGTGCAGTCATGATAAGCATATAAAACAAAATCCTACAATTCCTGGTTACCTATAGCCATAGTTGAATTCATATATTCACTTACTAGAGAAGGTGTAAAGGAACCTTTTGAAACAAAGTATGAGATGTCAGATTCATAATCACTCTCATTAAAGAATTTCTAGGAATTGATACCAGTAGCTAGGTGAGGAATATTCTTATGGAGACAGGATATTAAGATAGCTGTGAGCATGTATGGAAAAATCTGTCTTCGATTCAGCTTTAGAATACATTCTAGAATACAGGTGACATATGGAAGAGATATGGTCTTATCCCAGTCTGGGCCACCTCTTGTTGGGTGAGAGACTAATGTAGAAAGAAATATGGCAACTATGATATTAACAAATAGCACTAATTGCTTGTTGTTGTTGTGTCCAGCACTTCGGACCTCAACCTCATAGACCATAGCACGCCAGGCTCCTGTATCCTCCCCCCTCTCCTGGAATTAATTACAATGCAAAGAAAGGTTGTTTTTTTTCTTTTAGTAGCCTTAAGGGTAATAGTAGGTACCAGTAGCTATAAGGGTATGCTTTCAACTATGAGTGTGTCTGGAAAATGATATCTAATTGCTTCAGAGGATCTCATTAACCTAAATCATATACTCTAGTTTTATGTATTAAAACAGCGGTCCCCAACAGATTGGGGACCCCTATTTGAAAACACTCTGAACTTCACAGAATGACTGCATTTGAATAATTACACTTTCCTAAATCTAAGATATTTTTGTTGAAATCTTAATTTCACTAGTATTTTAACATTAATTTCCTATTATTGCAGAAATATTTCATTAGTACATACTTGTTTAAAAAATCTTGCTCAGATCCAGGTTCTGATTCATGCTCTGGTATTTGCTCCCCAATTTGTCGAGTGTTTTCTCTCAACACTGTTGATGTGAGCTGAGGTGTCTGTAGAGCACCTGGGGTCTGGATGCTGTCATTTCTATTCAGCCACGAGCCTTCAAGATTCTCATCTGATATATAACAATAAATTATTATAGTAAGCAGTGATTTTGTGCAGCTATGTGGCTAACAGTATATAGATTGGAGAGATTTTTTTTTTTAAAAGTCAAAATCTATTTTTTTTATTTTTTTTAACATTAAGATGAATTTATGTAGCACCTTTTCCAGATTTTATTCCAATATACACATCAACCTTAATTTATTATTGGTTAATTAAAGCAAGCAACTAAAGCAAGCAACTAATGAAATGCAATCCTAACAGGAAAAAGTAGTCTAAATTAGGGGTTGCCAACTTTTGGGACCTCAGGGACTACCAAACTCATAATTTTAAATCCCAGGGACCACTAATATGAATTTTGACTGACGGTGGCTGAGAGAGATCTGATCTAACCTTCCTTCCTCCCTCTCTCCCTCTCACACACACAGAGGCAGAGGTGGGATTCAAATTTCTTAACAGCTGGTTCTGTGGGTGTGGCCTAATTTGTGGGTGTGGTTTGGTCATGTGACTGGCTGGGCATGGCTTGTATGTAGATATTATAAATATTTATATAAATATGAATTTTGTATTAAAAAAGAGCAACTTTTACCCAAAATCAGGCAAAGCAGGCAGGTTGATTGAGTTGCTCACAGAATCATTCAGAGATCTATCTATCTCCAGTCAGCTACCTGAGTCTGTCACATAAAATTTGCTTGCAAGCAAACTCATAAAATTTGCTTGCAAGCAA